CACTTGAATCTATGTCCATAAACAGTGATTTATCTTTAATATCCCATGCAGTGGGTAAAACAATGTCGTTATTAGTTCTAAATCTTCCATTAGGTTAAATTCGATTTAGATGCTAGTGTAGCATAGGACATTACCAAAAATTCCGATTGGCTGATTTAAATAACATTTTACTTTTTATGCTTCTCTTAACTATATACATCGTTTAAATCTATTAAACACTTGTTAATCTGAATAATGTCCGAATTTTGCAACATTATTACAAAAAAGCAAGATATCTATATTTTTCCATTGAAATTTACTTAAAAGCTGTATAAACTAGTAGTTCCTATAGCAAACTTTTAATTGTTCGCGTTTCTTTTTTTTTCCCTTGCATGTTACACAATCTTATTATATATTATGAAATAGAGACAATTTTTACTACGATTTTGCTACTTTTACAACGCATTATTGGTTATTTTTTCTACAAAAATTAGGTACATATCTTTAACAAAACCTTATTGAAATAAAACCTTCCAACTATGGGAATGGTCTATATTCAGTTCAAAAATTATGATAGGTTCCCAATTGGCATATGAAAAAAAGGAACCTACGCTTTTTTGATTATTTAATGATCGAGTCCAAGTCACTGAGCAAAGTAAGCGCACCCAGACGTGGAAGATCGGGTCAAAGTGTCCCGTATTGAACAGAGTTAAGTTCACAGATATAAAAAAGCAAAGGTTTTTTTATTTCTGTAGAAATAGATAAAAGATAGGTCAATTACATAATAATAATACAACAGAGTAATGAACTAGTTAACACTGTATCTTAACAATATCTTAGCATGTGATTAACGCCGAGTGCTAGTCATATTATATAGGTTAAACTCACGGCATTTCCTTCTTGCAAATTTTTGAAAATGAATGAACGCCTTATTTTCATCCAATTCCTTTGTCATACCAATATCCAACATTAAATTTCTATCTACTAACATCACTATCTCTCCACAAATCAAAATATATATTTCGAAAATGTTAAAAATCGCTAAAAGTAGGAAAGATGTTCACATGATTAATTTACGTAATTTCCGGTTATAAGAAAAGTTTCAAGAAAGATAGAAGTAAGAAGGGCAAAGCAAAAGAAGTTGTTAGAGAAAGGCCAGTTGAAAGAGAGAGAGTTGAGCGACATTGTAAAAAAGGGTTGGGTCCCAACCCGGCCATGTTTACATAATATTCGAACCCATATTTATTTAGGATTAATTATTCACAAATCTTATATACAAAAGATGTAATGAACTTGGTAGCTTAGAACTCAATCATGCTTTCAACAAATGATTGAAGAAACAGATTCAATCAAATGGTAGAAATGCTAATTTCTAATCTATCTATAATAAAGTTTGAATCAAAAAAAATCTGTTGCAAGTTTAATTTACTATCATGCTGGCTGTGAATCTTATTAGCTAATTAATCGCTTATCGGAATACTAACATGCGATCAATTTTTGCCATCACCTAGTTTTATTAAATGATTAGAAATTATCAAAATTTGTCGGCCCCGTATCGATTTTTGAAATAACAGATAAGAATTTTTCGTATTCTAATTTGTGCTAACATTGCAAAGGTCATCTTTGCTGTATAGGGCTTTACAATTCTTTGTAATACTTGATGCCGTTATTTTTTGTTCGTTAAATTTTACATGGTTTTGGACATATAAAGAAGAATTGTGATCAATCTAAATAAATATAAATAGTTAAATATATTTTATATAGCGAAGTTACTAAAAAGCTACCGAAAGTTTTACGTGTAATAAGTGAATACTCTAGTATTTAGTTCGATATAAAATACATAAATGGCATGTAAAGAAATTTTGTGAACCAATTTTATTAATTTATTAAATATTATCCTGACATTTATTATGCGTATTTCAGTAAGACACATCTCAGAGTCAAATTTTAATTTTACGCGACTCAATTTTAAACCTACGCCTATTCTAATCTGAGATACGACATATACAAAGAAAATTCTTTAATCTTCTGGAATCTTAATGTACAGTACAATATATTATGGTATATTATGTGAAACAATAAATAAAGAACTACTAAAATATAATATGTCTATTATATATTTTAAAACTACCTATTTTGTTGTGGTTTTTTTTTATTTTCAGCCAGTGTTCATTTCTAGAATCTAAAATAGAACTACGTAGTAATATTACGACAAACACATGACCAAATTCAACCGAAATTGTTTATTATATATGTTTATATATAGATAAGACAAATTTTATCGAATTTAGTTCAGTTGTTTTCGTGATATAATTAGTGCTATTTTAGATGCTAGAAATCTCTACTTGTAGAATGCGGTAGAATCGTCCTAATGATTATCTGCTATCGTAACTTGCCGTAACTTGCCGCAACTATAGTAAGTAATATAGTTGCGGCAAGTTACGGCAAGCTACGATAACAGATAATCATTGGGACGATTCTACCGCACCCTTAGACATAAAGCTACCTAAATTATAATGACCAATTTTAGCTTAATATTACTACAATGGCTAGCACTAGCTTCTAGAATATTAAATTCCTTCCAAATCAATTGTTATATGTAAGAACTATGTAATTGACTGAGTTGTAGCGCTTACTTTGAATAAATAAATGTCATCGTTATCATTCGCCAATCAACATCATAAATGCTTAATAGTTATATTTATTTATTTATCGTTATAAATACAGTTATACGTGATACATATTTAACATTAACAATAAGTAAATATTTGTTTTTTTTTTTTTTAATAACATATGTTCCGGAGACTAACGCTAGTATAAAAGCAGTTAATATGATTTTAGTAATAAACAAAAAGTTTAATTTTATCGTAGTGTAGTCATATGATTGATTAATCGCTAGCCCACAAATGAAGTTACACAAACGGAACAGCACATGAAATACGTAATATTATCGCAATGATCATCCACTATAAAAATAGATAAAAACCGAAAAAAAAATTTTTTTTTTAACATACTAGACCAAAATGTTCAAATTGATTCTTCGGCATATCTGTTATGAACGGTATCCTCGGTATCCTTATATAATTTACAATGCTCATATTAAACTTAGACATGCAGTTTCTGGTGTGATGGGCATAGCATTTAGCCCACAACGACAAGTATCTCATGAAACGAAAAGAGGATTACCAAATGAATTAAAAGATAATAAGAAAGTTGAAGCTAATGAACCACAATTACTTAAATCAATTCAAGAACTTGCACGACTTTTAAGTAGTAGAGGAATTGATCTTAGTACTGGAAAAATGCCATCAATGATACAATTATCTAGAGTTGCATATGACGAAGAAGTAACAACAAAATTTAAAAACGTTAGTTCACAATTTTATGAAGCCGGTATCGAATTTAACTTTGATACAGCACAAAAGTTTTTGAATTTAGCAAATAGCAAACAAGAAGCAATCGACAATTAATAAGATACTAGGACTTGAGTTTTGGAATTGGGATTTCTCTACTTCATTTGGGATAAGAACCAAACTCAAAATATATAACACATTTTTTTGGTCAATAGTATCAAACAAATTTATTTAATCAATACTGTATATTATTAAAATTTTATTTTCATTTTCAAATTAAGAAAATTAAGAATTTGAGAGTGATTTTGTAACTAAATAGGTTGAATATTTATATCAAATATGTATACATTAAGTTAAAAAAGGTTTAAAAATAAAAACTAAAAATTGTAAATAATAAAATTTTTCGACAATCGAAATTCGAATAGAAATAATAGTTTAGGAAAGTAAAAAAACAGCTTTCTCTCAAGAAAATTGAAACGAAAAAAGAAGTTTTTCGGTGAATCTATGAAAGCAAAGACCAATTATTCGGTCAATTATTTTATTTACGTTGATTACATTAAAATACGGTATTACAGTATTATGGTTTTAAAATCTATGCAGGGCTATTGTCTAAAGCGATTTATATAATATAAAAGTATAAAAAGCATATCGAATAAAAAACAAATGATTTTATGTAATACTTATAGTAATAGTAAAAATTCATCTTCAGTTCAACTATTATTAAGTGAATTAGCAAGGACGGGAGTCCTTTAACAGCAAAACGTAAAAGAAGTCACTTCATATTTCGATTTGAGTAGATTAGATTATTATTCTTAATCTAGTAAGTTTGGGTTGCAACTTTATTGAAAATATATAAGATAAATATATTTATACAAGATATATATATATATGAAAGATAGTTTGCAAGTTGAATCACCTATCGCTATAGATATTATCATTCGCGTTCTAAGATTATTTAGTGAATTGATATCAAACCAAATATCGATGATATTTCGTATCGGTTATATCGGTTCACAAATAAAATTAAAATTAAAAATCAATATAATTTTTCACATTACAATCAAAATTATATTTTTACGATTTTTTAGTTTATTACACAAATAAAAAGTATATATATATAAAATTTTATTACAAAATGTTTATTTATAATATATAATTAATAATTATCGTATTACTTTATGGCATAACCTATACGTAATTCATAGTATATATATATAACATTATTTATCAGGATATCTAAAAAAAATAAACTACTTTTACGTATCGATTATTATCATTATATATCTGATATATATAGTATATTTTTAAAATTTATCTAAAAAACATACCGATATTATAATCTTAATATATACTGTAAATATAGAACTCTCAAATAGGTTATTTTGATCATTTTTGATTACATATATTCGAACATCAATACATAAGTTATCATCGAGTATTAAATCGTGATATTTATTTATTATTATATACTTATTTGTACGTCAATATAATACGATTAGGTTTTAGATAACTAAACCTACGTATTTTATTTCTTTCAAGAATTATAATCACATCATAATTGTATATCCAGCTTAAAATAAAAAAAAAAAACAACAAATATCGAAAATACAGTAATAATATTCTCAATTTGAATTTGAATTTGAATTTTGAATTAATTTTTATCAATGATCAAATTGTAGAATCAATACCAGCTTTAGATTCTGAAAATCCTGAATCTTGACGATATGCACTCGCAAATTTGGAAATCGCTGATTTGCTAGTCGAAAAAACATCTTCCATAGGTTCATCATGAAAAGTTGGTGTTTCTGTTTTAAGAACTGGAACTGGTACAGTGTTACAAACTTGTTCATTATTAGATTTATCAACAATCTTTGAAGATTTTTGAGGGTACATAATATTTGTAGTAGCTATCATAAGTTTTTGTAAGTCTTCAAGGTTACAATTCGATGCGTCAAAAAGACTCCCTAACTTTTGTTTACTGTATGTGGATGATCTATCATCACTCTTTTATTTCACACAAAAAAAAAGAATAAAAATTATATTTCATTATTTAAATGTATTTAATAATATAATAATATCCGTAATAATATCTATTTATTAACTTTTAATATGTAATAATCACCTTAGCAGTCTTGGCGAGGTCACTGACTAATTGTTCAAGTCTTCCAACATGTTCTCCTAACGTTTGCATACTAATCTCACTTTCTTTACATTTTGAACAGTTTCCATATCGTTGTTTCTCTTGAGAACTTTTTTTCGTTGATGAATTAATAGCTTTTCCTACTGTAGTAACCTTTATTCGTTGTGTACGAGAATACGTCCGTGGTTTTCGATTACATGTTACTTGCTTTTCATTATTAGTATCTGAATTATTTTTCGTCCGGTTAGTGGTGGTAGATGATGTTATAGTCATGTTTTGTTATCTTTATTTAATATTATTATTAATATCCTATATAATAATTCTACGCCTGAATTATCATGAACTTTACGCAAGAACCAAGCGTGTTAATTTTAGGCGGTCTTTTTTAATATGTATGTGTATATTTTCTATTATGAAAATAGAGTTGTAATCAATAGTTGTAATCAATAGTTGTAATGAATAGTAGTAGTTGTAAAATGAATAGTTGTAAAATGTGTATATAGTTGTAAAATATATATTTTAATACAATATATAAAAAAAATAAAAAATTTCCGTAACAGAAAATTTTTTTAAAAAAAATCGTCAATTCGGTTTTTATAACTTATTATATAAATAAAAATTACCGGTAATTACCGGTAATATGTTCCCTGACTTTTATCATGTGCTAAACAGGTAAATCCTTGCTTTTTTATATTGTTTATCCACGGAGCGTATTACCTAATATTGTTACAATTCCTTTATCGTTATTATTTTACCTTCAGCCGGTGCACAACTCCTCAACTCCGTCAACATATTACCGTTTTAGGTTATTTTATCGTACAATCTTTTTTTCTCTGATTGTTAGAAAATCAAATAAATTCCTTTTTTGATTTATTGTAACATCCTTACTTCAGGTAATGACGTACTTTTAATTCCGGTGTTTCTAATCTATAAATTTCAATCTAAATTGTATACCGATGCGGTCTTTGACGTCCGGGTTTTTTACTACGATTTTAATCTTATTGGATTTATTTGTACTAAAAGTAAATATTAATAATGTTAATTTAAATTTGTTTAACACTAATTACTTAACACTAAGTGTCACAAATGTTATTTAACTGTTAATGTTAAGAACACGTACGTACGTACTGTACATACATACGTATACGTATGTATGTACTGTACGTATAAATGTACTTAGCTGTTAGCTACAATAATAGTAATTGAAAATGTTTTTGAACTCTATTAATTCCACATTTTTATCTATTTTCAGTCTTATCTACTTACTTTATGCAGTTTATGACGAAATCTACTAGTTTTTATATACGTAGAATTTATTAAAAAAAACTGCTGTTTTCTGTTTTTAAAGCAGTAATACTCATTGCTGCAAGTATTTTAACGAATAACATTGTTAAATGCACTTGAAAGCAGTACGATAACTGATAATCCGGAGATCCGGAATTCGAATTTTTTTTACCAACCAAAATTAGAATAATTTTTATGATTGGTCTCATCATTAATCACATGATAATTAACTAATACTAGAGATGGCAAAAAAAACCTATAATCGGAATATGGGACATATGCTCCATAGAATGATTTTCAAGGCAAAAGACATACATACGTACTGTACGTATGAGATATAATACGGTAAAAAATTCATAATGTTTGTTACAATTAGTTATACCCATATTTTATATTAGGAACTGTGAAAAATATAGAAGGACCTTACTATGATGTCGTTATAGCCAGATGTGGGTAGTGCTAGAAAACGATCGCAAAAATTCTGATCATCGAATCTGTTAAACTAAAATATAAGCTATATTGTTATAAAATCGAACTACAAATTTATAAATACGTAGAATGAGTATCTTAACAGTACATACATATTATACGTGATTATTTTATTATATTGATTTTATTATATTGATATTATACTGTTACGGGACCTATCATTAAATTAGTAGAGAAAACCATAATAAATATTCTATTATCATAAGGGCTAGCCCGTTTTAGAGCTATTCTGGGCAATAATTGTTAAGAGAAATGATGCTTCGTATACGTAGAATTCTCTTATCCTATCTTAGTAAAATTAAGCATTTATAATTATTTATAATCAAAGTGGCTATACTGAAACTTGTGTTATGAAACAAAGCTTTTTATATTAGGCTTTTTTACTAATCAAAAACATATACGTATAACAGTATAAAATATGAAAGTCCATTACTCAATAAATATATTCAATCTTGCTATATACAGTAAGATAACATGATCTATGTAACAGTAATGGTAAGCACTAAACCTATTGCTAAAACGCATCACGAATTTTATGTGACACGAACCTTCGTAATACAAAAACAGACAAATATTTGTAATGGACTATTGTAAAATAGCGCAATGGAAAAAGAATGGAAGCATGCAAGGAATGTGTCGATTTTTTTTTTTGATTGGTCAAAAAAATATATTTATACTCATAGAAAATTATTAATAATTCAATGATGTATACTTATTGCTGTGGTTACATACGTATCATACATTGTGTGGTTAAGAAATATGCATGTGTTCAAGAGGGATTTTAAAGAAATACGTATTAAGAATTTTTATCCCGAATAATATAATCGCTATATATATTAAAATATTGTATATATAAAAATATATATTAATACATATATATTGTATACGTAAAACAGTATAACAACTTGTAAAAAAATTTAAAAATATCTGTTAATACAGTATATATATATCTTAATATACTTTGAATCCTATTTTGTAAATGTTTTTAACTTGATACGTAGTCTAATACATATCAAGATATAGAATCACTAATAAAAATTAAAAAATTCGACATGTCAAATGGAAACATTCGACTGCCATTCAAACTGACATTCGACATGTTAAATAATGTCATTCGATCTGCTATTCGACCTACCATTCTGTAAGTTTTTTGGCCGTAAGTAGGGTTCCAAACCGGATTGAAAATCTTCAACCGTGACCCGTCGGGTGAAAACCGAAACCAAAACCGATTATCCGATTAAAAATGGGTGATCCGGATACCCGATTACCTATCAGCTATATATTACGGCACATTTGTAAAATACAAAAAAAATTGAAAAATTTGACTACTAGCGCTAAGATAGTCAATGTTTCCTAGGTTATCATAAATTTATATATTTAATGAAACGAGTCAAAGAGTGGGAAAATGGGTTAGCCTGTGGGGAAAATGAGTTAGGCACATTGTTATTATAGATCGGAGTGCCAATAGTTTCTTTTTGGGTTCTATATTAGAAAATCGATAATAAATTTTGTCCCCAAAACTTTAAATCTGACAAACGTGCCGTAATAAGAAATATCGTTGCAATATTTCGATAAAAGAAATCGGATGACCCATTTTCAGCAGGTGACCTGTTCGTGTTATATTAAGCCGGTTGGCATATTTAAACCGGTTTGCCAAAATTGCCATTCTGTTGATTTTTTTTTCGATTCGGTTGATCGGTTGGACGGTTAACCGGATTGGATGTTGGAACCCTAGCCGTAAGTAATGAATAACTGCACTATTTAGGCTGCAATCCCAATTACAACTCATACCAAAAGTTGTACTATGTCGTAATGGTTGTAATTGCCGTGATGCCGTAATGATTGTAATTGCTATAATCGTTGTAATTGTTGTAATTGCTATAATCTTTGTAATTGTTGTAATTGCCGTAACAATTATATTTATATAAGTGTCCGAGATAATTATGATTAATAACAATCGAATTATAAAGTGCAAATCAAAAAGCTTACTGTACATGTGATATTCGAATTATGCAATTTACTGGATATTAATATATAAGGATATACTGTATATATAAAAGAAAAATCTTGATTATAAATAAAAATTGAGATTTCATTAATCTTGATCTGGTTTAAGTATAATGTATTAGCATGAATTATATTTGCAGATTTTGATAAAATGTAATGCTTTATATTTATTTATTTATTTTAAATTCAATTTTATCTTGACAATAATTAGTAAGTAAATATACTGTACTGTATAATTCTATAGATACAGTATTACAGTATTATATTTGCAAATTTTTGTATATTTTTTAATATTTTTTTTTCATTACTGTATTTATTTTAATATTATAAATAAAGTTGGTCAAATTATTAATTAATCAAAATTTTGCTGGTTAAACTAGTCTAGTTAAATTAGTTAAATAATTATAGTAGTCAAATTAATCAAATAATTTAGTTTATTAAATAAATACCATAATTTTAGTACAGTATCAGACAGTAAAAAACATTCACTCTTTATTAGTAAAACTTTAAATTGTTTAAAAAAATAAATCAAAAAAGCCTCTAACAAATTGATAGATTTTTAGCAAACTACATTTCTATCAAAAAATTTTTTTTTATTCTTTGGTTTAAAAAAGTTATAAGAGATTAAAGTTTATGAGTTCAAAAAATTAAAAAAAAAAGAAACCATATATAAATTTTTAACCAATCAAAATCAATTACACAAAATTAGCCAATCAGAATTGATTATATAAGCACCAAAAATTGGCATTTATATATATAAATTGGATGTCTTTTACTGACTTGTATAGTATATATATATATACTATATAATACTGTATTGATTTTTACAGCTAAGAACTTTTTATTAATAAATAGGATTTAGGCTTTTGTACTACTAGTAGTACATTTAAAAAAATAGGTTAAAAATCTAAAAAATTATTTATATAAATAATTTTATATATAAAAATTTGATAATTGCCAAAGTATAGTTTAGCAGAATTTTTTTTAACATTAATAATAAATTTTTTTTAAAAAATTTTTTTTAATATTAATAATAATAAATTTTTTTTAAAAAAAATTTTTTTTAACTACTATTTTTTACAAATTTTAATGTATTATATATATATAAGGCCATGCAAAATTAATTAATTGGTTTTCATAACCCAGCCGGGTCAAAATTTGAAAATTTCAAAAAAAAAATTTTT